ACCACGTTTGACAATTTCTCCCGTCATTAAATGCAGAAATACATTTACTCCAAATAAAATGTCAACTGGTTGTGACTTGTAAAATAATGGATCAGCTAATTGTAAATCACTGAAGTTATCGAAGATGATTGATGGCAAAGATACATAGGGAATGTTATCTGTCACCTTGTCCAGTACAAACGCTGATGTTGATACACGAATATCACTTTTAAAATGAGAAGTGAATACTAAATCGACTTCCCCATTACTTATAGTATTAAATTCTCCTAGACATGATACAGAAATGGAATTATCTTTCACTCGTAATCCTAATTTCTTCACACAATCCCTTGAAATAAATGATCTCTGAGATCCAGTGTCACATAAACATCTACACTTCACAAATTGTTGCTTAGAATTTTGAACTTTTATTAAAGCAGTACACAATAAAATGTGACTGGTTTGATTATCTTTTGCATTCGAATCATAATGAGAGGCACAAACTGTGGCTGAAACATCCTTAGGACTCGTTAATTCATCTCTTTTAGGGATAGATTGCGTAGGCGGAGATATACTGTTTAACTGAGTTTTATTCTTTGAATTATTTACAATGTGCAAAATACTGTGATGCTTCTTAAAGCAATGTCGACATGTATTTAAACTCTTGCATTTTTTGAGCAAGTGCATATTAGAGAAACAATTAAAACAGTAACGATTAGATTTTTACAAATTCTATCCTTTGCTGAACCGATAAATTTAGAAATTTCGAACATTTGGCTAAACTATGATCTTCTTTACAATAACCACAACCCAAAGTAGCAACCAGAACATTATTCTTATTTTGAAACACAGATTTAGGTACCTTATTACTTGTTTGATTTGCTATTTTGAAGTGTTCTTGCATAGTTTTTTTTAGGAATTCAATTAAAGTCGTAAGTTTTGGAATTTCATTACATTTTAACTGACGTTCCCACCATAATTTTGTAGAAGGGTCTAATTTTTGCAAAATTAAATAAGTCATTAAAGTGTCCACCAAAATTATCAATGGTTTGATTCAATACTTCTAAAGAACGAATTAATTTCATTAATATTGTCAACTAAATTTAAAATAGCAAATGCTGATTCATTTTGAATAGTTGGTAAACTTAAAAAACGTTTAATATATGCAAAAATTTGTTCTCTCTTATTTGAATATCTTATCTGTTCGTCTAACAGATTCCATGCTATTTCAAAATTACAATCCGAAATTTGAATGGTTTGAATAATGCGATATGCTTCACCTTTCAACGAAGCCTTCAAATACTGCAATTTTTGAGCATTAGATAAATTTGTATTATTTCTTACACAAGCACTGAAAAGATCTTTAAAAGCTATCCATTCTGTAATATTACCACCAAAAGTCGGTAATGTTAACTTGGGTAATTTAATATTGTCAAGAACCTGTTCTGAAATTACACCATTAGAATTTTTTTTTATTATTTTGATTTTTTAATATTTTTTCACCTTTAAATTTCCACAAATAAATTTTATCTGTGTACTCCTGAACATTATCTATTTCGTTTTCTAATTCTTTAGTATCTGTAATTAAACTTTCGATTTCAGAATCAAGCTTCCTTAACTTAGTTTCTTTTTGTGTCACTAATTCGACACATTCCTCTAGTTCTATTAAATTAATTTCATCTGCAGTTAAAATAGTTTCAATTTTCTTTACATAATTAGTAACACTCCTGCGTAAGACCGCTCTTTTTGTTTTAAAAGTTATAAGTTCACTCATAATTGATCAATTCAAAAACAGAAATTGTTCTTAAATCACTTAACACTATTATTAAAATGAAATCGAATTCTATGTTGCATTACAACATTGTTCTTAAAATTTAACAACAAATTAAACGAATTTTTGTTCAAAATCCACTTACCTCACAAAGTGGAGGAATATTTTCACCAACCATATGCATATTTGCGTTGTTAGAATACACTTAGAACAGTCACTATCTTCACTAGTTCTCCGGCTAGACTTTTGACCAACAATAAATGTTCTTAAACTTAATATATTTCACAAACAATAATCAATCAACAAGTGGACTGTATTCCTACACTTTTATTTCATTACACTAATTATAAATAATATGTCAGCGATGCGAAATAATTGATACAAAATAAGCGAGCCATTCTACATGACTGTCATAAACACAATTCTATGAATCAATTATCTTGTTGCCACACATAAAGTTCAAAACTAAAGGAAGAAAAACAAAAGGAATTTACGCTGTTTGCAACAATAAAATGAAGCAAACGATACTCACATAAACAAATATTGTTGTTTCTTTCCCAGCTCTTGATCGCAAAATTCCAATAGAAAAATATACACCCGTTGTTTTAAAAAAAGTATTTTCTTTTCTTTCTTTCTTTTTTTTTTTTTTGAGCCATTTAGCTCATAAATGTCACCGTGCAGATGGTACAAAATCGCTTTCAAATCATTTTTGAAATTATTCGTTATCATTCACGCATCAACACTGCTTTCATAAATCGCTGGTACAAATTTTGTGTTTAAGTGTTTGAAACATTGCACATTGCATAATGATTTCAGTTTGCGATTTTGTCAAGTATTATTAGTGTATAATAGAAGCGAATCGATTTTTAATTAATATAAACCGCAGTTTGTTAGACTCTTGTTTAGCAAACGTGTTAGATTTATTTCACATATTTGCAGCGTTTTGTAGCAAAGAGTAGTCCCGTCGCCATCTGTAAACTTTTCATCAACATATCCACCATCTTCAATAATTATTTTCAGCTGCATTGATAATTTACTAGCAACAACGATGCCATTAGTTACAGCTTCCCCTCTATATTTCTTGTCAGATTCTAAGTCGAACTTTTATTGTGAAAGCTTTCCAGGTGAAATTTCGAATGAATTATCAGCTAAGAAGTTTACTGAATGCTGACGACTTTGCTTTTAGAAAGAACCCTACCAACAGATACTGATTCATTTCGCTTTCGTTTTGTTCATTTCGTTTCACTTGTGAAAACAGTCATTAACTTGTCTAACTAAATTTTATCCTCGGCTCTAATTTGTTTTGCTGTCCAACTTCACTTTCGGCAGAAGTCACAAAATTACGCATCTTCTCTTCATGTTTTATCCCACACACTTATTCCCTTCAGCTATTCTATATTCGCGAGAGATACACGATTTTGAGGTGCCATGTTTAATTTCTCCATTATTTTTAATTTTCGTCTTTCGCATAATTCTTTCCCTTAATGCTTGAAGTCATAGTTACCTTAAGTGATACTAAGCTGTTTGGTTTCAAAATACATGCAGAATATTAATTTAGAAGTCAAACAATAAAAGTCAGCATTGTACTATTTGAAAGTTTTCACAGGACTAGTTTCGATTATTTTACTGAACCATCATGATCAGCTGCAAACTGCAAATTGTTGCCAAAGTTCAATGGTTTTACCAAATCATCATCTTCAGCACTTGGGAACTGAGGATGATGGTTCGGTAAAACCATCGAAACTAGTCCTGTGAAAATTTGCAGATATAACGCTGATTTTATTGTCTGGGTTCTAAATTAATGTTTGTTCGGAGTGTTAATTTTACCTAAATTACAGGCAGTATATTTAGACATTACAGAAGCACTGATCTTCAGAGCTTAAATAACTAAAAGAATTCTTTTAGTAAGAGTGCGTGTGACGGATCCCAAATAGTAATTTCCAGTGTAATATAGTTCCAAATACAAATTGTGTTCCAAATAGTAATCCCAAATAGTAATTTTCGATTTCCAGTGTTATATGTTTACCCATTCGCTGAGTTTGCATTCTATCAGTCTGCTGTTACACTTACTTCTACTAACACTTTTTTTTTTTTTTTTTTTTTTTTTTTAGCTTTATTACTAAGCATAATTTTCTTCACACTTATGCCGTGTACAGTTGACCAGCAAAATTACAAACTTTTTAAAACCAGCATAGTGGTGTACGTTTAGAATTCCCGATGCGTCGTTAAATGTATGCGTACATTTTTCTGTTTTTCTGTCTTTTCTCAGTTCATCATATCAATGCTCAGTCTTCTTACTAGAATGGCTTTACAAAGCTATTTTTTTTTCTTTTCATTATTAACGTTTTGTGCGTTTACTTTTCTAAATATATCACATTCATGTAAATTCTATTATTTATTAAATATTAAATATCGCATTCTTGGCTCTTACGCCACATAAAATTCAATTCAACAGTAAAATTACAAAATATTTAAAAACAGTATATCTTTAGATAAACAGTCTCGCGTGCTGGAGATAAAAATGTTTTTACAGTGCTGCTACTGCTCACCTTGAAATATTTGAGTTTGTTAATCAAAAATTCATTAAAGTTATACAAAGCATGAAATAGATAATAAAACAAATTAGAAAATCAAAATCTGGGCTTCCAAGCGTCCATGTTCGGTTAGAGGACTACTTTATTCAAAGTTTGATCGATCTAGGTACTGTTGTTTTTCCAGAATACGAAAAACATGCATGTATTGATGCAGATTCTTTCTTAATTAGCCCACCAGCGGCCGAGCGGTAAAGTCGCTGAACACTGGCAGTTCCGTCCGAGGTTCGAGGTTCCCACGAACGGGCTGGCTGCATGGGTGTTTTCGTGGTTTTCCCAATGTGTAACGTGTATACGAGCCAGTTTCCCTTAGAAAGTCCTCCACGAAGGCATCCCTCCTCTTAGGCAGATAGCCCTCGAGGCTTTGCCATAATCACAAACAATCACTTTCTTATTTAATTTCTTTAAACATAATGCAGGGTGATAATATCTAGTGGCAATAATATGGAAAGTGATACACTGTTTATAGTGATTCAACGCAAAATGCCGTTTCGAAACTAATATCCCTTTCGAGACTAATGTCCCTTTTGGTCTAAAAAATATTATAATAGCAAAATAAAATGCAATAAATTACTTGAGAGCAACTCATATTTATTTTTATAGAAGTAAGAATTTTTTCCTTGTAATTTTATGCACTCTATTGTTTTAATTAATTTTAGAACTGGAACACCGAATAGCAGATCTTTTGGGTAAGGAAGATGCCCTTTTCGTTCCATCTGGAACCATGGGAAATCTTTCATCAGGTAAGTGGCCTGAAACGAAACACGCGACGTATTCATTTACCTGCATATGAGAAACATTTTATGTGTGCAGCAAAATATGGAAGTAATTGTAACTGCAAACATATTAACGCATGATATTGTACTAAATATAATTACAAATGACATGCAAATTAAATTTTTAACAGCTTTAGAAATTATTCTTTTTAGTTTCCTAATGTGTTTTGTAATAAAAAAAATATGAACTAAATAGATGCAGAATGTACACATGATGCTTGCCAACCAAAACCCGAGATATGTCAGAATGAGTATGGTTCGAACCTCTCGAATTATAATGCAACTCTTATAAATACAGTACTTAGTTTAGCATCAAATGATTCAGGAGCTCTTGAGGTTCTTCCTTAAAGTGTTAAAGTGCGGATGAAATCCTTCTTTTCTACCCCTAGCCTTGGGACCCGTACATTCATTATTCTGTCAATCTCACAAGTTTGTTGGTCAATCATTCAGATTTTATCCGAAGTATCAAAAATTGCGTGCAGAGATTCTGTGTCACGAGACATTTCACTGCCATCCAAGAGCAAGAATTCCTTGCCTACAACCTAATAAATGATAAAACTTGACGTTGGAGTACTCATTAAAACATCAGATCATTTATAACTCCATTTACTGCACATGCAGCACGAGGCACCCATTTTTCTTGATACTTTTATGCGTCAAGTTCTAGTAGTGCCATATTTGCATATTTTGGTAGCAATGCGAAATGCCATTTTCACGCGATCTGAGATCAAACGACGTGTAGAATCAGGGGCAAATTAAATTTAATCATATCTGACAGTTTGTTTATTGATGACTTGCTCAGTTTCCGTGGATACATGAGCTGTATCAAATGCTGGATACTCTAACATAGACTGCATATAGCTTAGCATATACCAGATGAAACCGATAATGTAGAGATCCATAGTTTCTTAGGGCTTTTGTATCTGCCCCCTTCAGCAGAAAAAGTAACACAATCTCTGAAAAACAAATTATATAGAATAGACGAATATGCTGACTTATTTACGAGTCTTATTTTGAATTTAAAAGAATATTGCTGGCAAGTGAAATTTCATCTTAACTGCTGAATTTTCAATTTGCTTCGAAAATTAACACTTTAAATTTATATTTTGTAGAACGAATGATGATTATGTTATACTGAAAGGTACAGCAGAAAGAAATTTAAAATGTGTAATACAGAGAATTTCCTAGTCTGTTTGTGTGATTTTATTGTCAAATATTTCGGGGTTCATTACAAGCAATACTGATCAAATATTTCGAGGCTCATTTACCTCCTGCTATGAAAGGCTTTACACAAATATATTATTAAGATTGAAATCCAAATACGAATCTTCTGAATATCTTGTCTACCTGTTTTTATTTAGAAATTTATAGACTAGTCATCCAAATGCATACAATGATTATGACATAGGTGTTAAATATCTTGGATATGCATCGTTTACTGCATTATTAAATTTTTTAATATAAACTTTCTTTTATTTATGAGCTTATTAGCAAAATGGAAAATATGTTAAGAATGATCTTTCATACATCATTTCAAACATTTCATATAATCTACACCTCATCATATAATTACGTTGTAAAAATTAACAGTGGAATGAAAGTTTTCTTTAGCGTTTAGAAGATGGAAAGAACAATTTCTGTTTCAGTTTCTGTTAGTCAAAATAAATATTATAACGAGAAATTTTACGCTGAAGCTTAGCCGATTTGGTTTCGACGAAATTCTATCAGATATAGTGAAGTTTAATGCAAAAAGTAACAGAAATAACTCTGAAGTTTGTATTCCTAAAAACATGAAGCTGTTTGATTATTATAGACTTATCTCATCGAGAATTATAATTTACCAATCAAAAAATATGGCCTTGACATCTGAGTCAATAAACTACCCGGCTATCGACTTTTATATCAGAGGGAGTAATCATATTTACTCTATAAAAGATCGACTTTCTTGAAATTCTCAGCAAAGATACCATCACCAGTTGGGTAAAGTGCTACATGAAATTAATGACTCACATGAAAGGGGCTTTGGAGTAAAAAGTAGCGTCATGTTTAAAAAACGAAATGTTGTAAGGAGCAATAAAATTTGATTACTTGAGTTAGAAAAATGAGGTGTAGACGATGGCATCATTACTGTCCACTAATGCTAAGGAGTTTCATGCTAGTCCAAATGGGACACGATATTGTATTGCAAAGAATATTTCAAAGAAAATTAGAAGAAAGTTTAAGAAAATTGCTGGGTAAAAGAATCTAGAAATTATACTAGGCGAATAGTTACATTCGGTAAATAATACCATTTGCTATCGCAGGTGCCATCTAACTTGGTGCCGAAATCACTCCAGCTACGTACATGAATGAAGCATTGTTGTCTTTTAGTGATGAAATTGTACTTGTCTGGAAGAAACTACTGATATTTCTCCTAGATTCTTTTAATAGTACACATAAGTATGTATAATTAAGAGATATTAATTAAATAAAAAATGATGGATAAACAAAGATAAAACAAATCAATAAAATAACATAAAAGTGTATGTAAATAAAAGAAAACAGATAGCTGAAAATTCTGAAGTCCTTTTCAAGGAGCAGCCAGCCGAAAATATTTTAACAGAGCCACGTTTCTAAGTTATATTTGCATGATTATAAAAAGCAGTTCATGAAATAATTCTAAAGGGCCAATAAAAATTAATAATAATGTAATTTTAAACATTAATTCTATAGCATAAAAATTTTGTAAGTATAATATTAAAAATGAATGCTATTATACATACCCATATATTTATTGTGTATACACACACACACGCACACACACACACACACACACACACATATAATTTATAATTTAATTTAGTTATAGCCTCTTAGTTCCTCATTTTTAATTTGGATATTTCCTCTCTGTATTCTAAAACCTGCAATAACTTTCCTGGACTGCGTCATTTCTAGACTAATCTATGTTTGGCTTGCAAAACGCTGATGACATAGCTCATTCGAAATCTGATCTCATTTGGAGGACTGAAACCTTTCTAATCTAAACCAAAAGCTTCTCTTGGTGAGCCTCCATATTAGATAACTGCGCATTTTAGCTTCAACCTCTGTCCTGCTTTCATCGCTGTATTCTCTTCCTTTTTTTAGCAGGATTAAAAATGTCAATGTTCTTGAATAGGTAAGATCAAAGTGCCAAGTAAATTATAGCCACAAATGTTAATTGCAATAAAAATGAATATTTAATCTTAATCGTCTGTTAAGTTGTCTAGTTACTATAGATTTCACATTTTAGTATTCTACGCAATCAGAATTCTCTACGTTCTGCGCCATCAACATTACTGCGTCTTTTTCTCTCTCTCTTTTTTTTCATTACACGCACACATACTCATATATAGATATATAATAATTCTGTAGATGACCTCTATTAATTGTAATAAATTTAGGATGCATGAGAGAGAAGATACGAATTATTTTTTAGTCATGACAGAGAAGGTTGTAGATATGGCTGGCATGTAGATCGAATGCGTAATAGAAGAAGAAACTCGCAGACGTTGGCACATATAACTAGACACATAATTATATTTCTTGACAATTATTGCAGTTCACATCATTTTTGGACACGTGATGCACCCCAATTTTGTATATCTTACATTTTAAACAAAGTGCAAAGCCGGGCGGAAGCGAGGCGTGGTTAGCCCCAAACAAGGCGGAACTGGTAGAGAACGGGCTGCGCAATAGTAAGAGCGGTATTTATATTAATACGTTTTTTGTTTAAATTCTGGATCTGAAATTGGATACGATTTGTCACAGAAAGACGCAATCCGGAAAAATAATTATAAGCAATTTAAGAATAGAAAGGGGAGATAGCCAAATTAAATTGGGAAATAAAAATCACTATTGCCAAATTAAAGTTAATAATTTTTAATTACATATTTTATATATTACACAAATTCACATAAATATATATATATATATATATTTAAAGAGGATGATATGATCAAATACTGTTTAATCATAAAATGTATTAAGTGCTCTTTTACAGTTATGTCACATTGTTGGACAAGGGGTCTTGAAGTCATGCTGGGCGATCAATCGCACATTTTCATATATGAACAAGGGGGAGTTTCACAAGTAAGCTTTTATACTAATGTTTCATAAAATTGTAATTGGTGCTGATTCGTAACTCTCCGTACGTAGGAAAACTTATGGTTTTAGAGTTGAAGAAAGCATCATCATTGAGCGCATTTTAATTGAAGAAGTTTAGTCGATTAGTAACATTAAGCAATAAAATAATCAACAAATTGCTTAATATTATCTAAAAGACCAAAGTGCATTTTTTGCATTCCAATCCAAGTTATACATACTCAAATTATAGATTAATGCATTAAGTGATGTTTAATGGAAGGTGTCATTTACAATCTCACTTTTCATACTTTGGCTTAACATCTGAAAGTTCATATAAACTTGTAGCTTTACAATGTGTAAAGGGCAATTGAAGATTACTTTTTTATTAATAATAGATATTTACTCATACAACATCCATATGATAACTAACTAAAAATAAAAAAAAAAATAAAAATTTGAAATTAAATGCGTGGGATGATAACTTTTTCAACTTGTACTATGTTTTCGTGTGGTTAGCATTTATAATAGGTTGGTTAACAATCGCTTAAATTAAGCAAAACTATTACTGATTATCTCCTGTCAGTATTAGCAATCTAATACTGAAAGTTGATAATCAGTCTTCCAAAATTTCTGCTGTTTAAAGCTTTTAAATATATTTCCTATTTTCATAAGGTAATGACTAATGAGGACGTGAATTTCCTCTCATACAGTAAAACCAATGAAACCTACTTTCAGGCGATTATAGGAGAATCAGTTGCCAGCATTTTATTTTCCATTCCTCAGGCATTAGCTTCATAACACAGTCATTGCAACATAATCGTTTGCAAACTTGTTACCTAAAATTATGTTCTTCAAATTAAAATGTACATACCTCCACGATCGTAAGAATTTGTTTAGAGGGTGTATGGATTAATCCTTTGTGAAATGGAATTCTTTTAAATTATAAAAATACTTTATATAAGCATACAGTGATATGTTCCATGCTTTAGTTATAGTTGACAACAATAGAGCAAACATCGCTGTGCTATGTTTCTGTAATTCTAAACTGTAAGTGACCTGTATAATAAAATATGTGTATCATGCGGAAATATTCTACCACATGAAAAATCTCCAAAATAGAATCATATAATTAGGATTTTTTAATTATCATTCAACAAAATTCATAAATAAATTAATAGATATACAGCGTTGTGATATACAACGATCGTTTCTGGGATATCCTATTCATAGTCCAATGATTCTTCTAGGATATTCTGACAAAATTAGTTTCTGCTTTTGAATAAATAGTTCAGTGAGCACTAGAAATTCATCGAATTGATGAGGTTTCATGCGAAAGTAATTAAAAGAAATTTGGTTTCGTTCAAGCGCATTTCTTCAATTAAATTATTTGCATCTCCTTACTGCAGTCATCTCTCACATATTAATATAAACCACTGCATTTTGCTTCGCAAGAAGTAAAATAAGTTTTAATCGAGCAGAAATTAAATCCATTTTAATTTAAAAATGTAATCGTAAAATGTCAAAATACCACATAAAAATTTCACGTTTTTCACAAATTTTCCGATATGAAGCGCCATCTAGTACGAGCATATGACAACTTTTAAAACGAAAGTTGCCACGCTGGTGGGAACTGGCGTACGTGGAAAGCGTTTTTTTTACGCTTTGCCGCTTGATGCCCCAACGGACCAGTGTGAACTCAGCTTTACGCTAAAGCCGACACTTGGGCTTGATCTTCAAGAGACTAAGAATCAAACTAAACTAATGTTAACTAAAGAGATATAGCGGAAGCTATCAAAATTCTAACAGAGTTGGCCCCTTAACGCTAATTGACTGCGAAGCTATCAAGGGTCTAAAGTACGGCCGAGCGTAGTCATAGCTTACGAGAGAGTAGCTTAAAAAACGGATGCGTGCAGCCAGAAAATCTGGTATCTTTCTCTCTAAGACAGAACTTCGCGGTTAAATACCGCTCTTCCTCATTAGCATTCAGACGTGATTCTAAAACTACGTTCTGGCCGGAAGTGTTAAGTTGAAATTAAGAATCGATAGGAAAGGAAGTTTTCTTAACTGTTATTAAAATTAAAACATAATCCTTACAAACTTATTCGATTCTTCCTTTCACATTTTGAATTTAGGTCTTTTAAAAAAATTCGCCCTTTTATGATTTATTTTTAAAATTTGTATCTTTAAAAAATTTTATAAATTTTTCGAAAAATTTTGAATTATAACCTATAAAATGTTTACCGTCATCTTAAAGTAGATGTCTTTCTAAACATACCTGCAAGAAATTAGAGTTTTTTATTCAAAATTTCCTAAACTATACGTAAAATGATTAAAAAATCAAGGTCATAGAACCTGTTCACGGCTCACAATCACCCATTGAGTGTTCAAATCAGTAGTTGGTCTAACCGCCCCTGTTGGCAATGCATACTTGAATTCATCAAGGCAAGCAGTGGTAGAGGTTCCTAATGTCATCCTGCGACACATTCTGCCCGGCATTCATCAGTTGTCGCTCCAGACCTGCGATATTTTGTGGTGCCTGAATCTGGCGGCCTACCATGTCTCCCAGACATGATCGATTGGTGAAAGGTCTGGTTACCTTGCTGGTCAAGGAAGAGTACCAACCACACGGAGACAGTCCAGAGATATGCGAGCGGTATGTGGCCTGGCAAAATCTTGTTGGAAAATGGCCCCAGGATGACGGTCGCAGAATGGTATCAACATACCTTTGAGCTGTTAAAGATGTACGGAGGATGACTAAAGATGACCTGCTCTCATAAGAAAGCGCCCCACACCATCACACCAGGGGTTATGGCTGTATGCCTTTGTAAAACAAAGGCTGATTGGGACCGCTGTCCCCGTCCTCTCCAGACACGAACACGGGGGTCATCTGCCTCAAGAGTGAAGCGGGATTCATGTCTGAACACTATATGATGCCAATCTGATGGCAGCCATGATGATCAGCTGCAACACGACTCCAGACGACTCCGCCAATGTTGTGAGGTCAAAGGCAAACGTCTTAAAGGATTCTGTGAGCGTAACATGGACAAGCGCCGTGACATGGTGGACGGTACCAGGGAAGGTATACATGGGGCTGTAGTGCGTTGAATAGTCGGCAATGATATCGTTGGGGAGATTCGGTTATGGCGAACAATCATTTTTTCTTGCCTCGCATTTGTGCTCTTTGGCCTTTCAGAGCCTTCATTTCGTCGGCAATTTCCTTGTAGCAACCATTGCTGCCAACATATTTGCACAGCAGTGTCTGTACGCTGCAGGTGGCGGCCTAGTGCTCGGTATGACCACCCAGCTTCACGCAACCCTACAGTGCGACTACGTTCGAAGTCGTTTAGCTGTCTGTAAGGTCTTCGATATAGTCGTAATGGCATCTTTAGTTGCTTCTTTACGGAATTACAATGGAAGTAACAAAAAGAGATACATTTTCCGAGAACATTTTTTTTTCTTATTTTAATGCAAAAACTCTCCTGGTATTTCATACCTGGATTTGCTTTCTTTTGATATATTGCCTTAATTTTGTTGACATATGTTAATATGCACGTATATATACGTTCTTAGAGATATCACAATAAATGTTCTAGGCCGTTGCTTAGAGGGTTGTAAATTAACGCAAACTTCAATCTTAGATTGAGGACTATTATATAAAATACTTCTAAGCATTTTTACTGACTTCATATCTGTTTTCTTCAGCATAAATGATCATTTTTCACACAAATTGTATAAGAACCAAGCCAGAGGTTCATTCTTGATGATATTTTTTTTCATTAATTTTTAAGAACACTTGGATGAGCATTAATAAATTTACTAATTGTGAAATTCGGTTTTTTAAACAGAAAAAGAAACATTATAAAAATGCAGAGCTATTATTTAAAATGAATTACAGAAAAAAGTGACTTTATAAAAACTTAAAACAGGGACTCTTCATTAATATATGAATGAATAATTGAAATAATTACCGTTACATAAGAGTAAAAGAAAAGTACATTAGGAAAGAATACACAGTACATAAGAAAAGTACATACCTTCTACTCCATGAAAAGCTCACTTTAAATCGGAATACTCAATTAAGTATTTATAATTATCGTTGAACCAAATTCATAAATGAAATAAATTAGATGTATACAACGGGTTTTCTGAGATATCCTATTTCTGTTTTCAAAATGATCCTTTCGTACGATATTCTGATGAAAATTGGCCCACCAGTGGCAGAACGGTAAAGTCGCTGAACATTGGTATTTCGATTCTAGGTTTGAATCCAGCAAACGGGCTGGCTGCAGGATCGTTTTCGTAGTTTTTCCCCATGTGTAATGTGTGTATGAGCCAGTTTTCCTTAGAAAAGTCCTCCACGAAGTTCCCTTACAAAGTCCTTTGCCGTAATCATATAAACCAAACAAATCTGACAAAAATTAGTGTTTTTCTTCTGGATAAATGGTTCAACGAGGGCTAAAAATTCTTCGAATTGACAAGGCGGCATGCGAAAGTAATTAAAACTTTCGATGTCGTTCAAGCGCATTTCTTCAAATAAATTATTTGCATCTCCTTGCTGCAGTTATCTCTTACATATTAACATATTCCACTACTTTCTGCTTCTGCTATATCGCAAGAGGTAAAATAAGTTTTAATCTTGTAGAAATTGAATCCATTTTAATAAAAAATATACCCGCAAAAAGCCAAAATACGACGTAAAAATGCACATTTTTCGCCAAGGCTCCGATATGAAGAATCATCTAGTGGTACGCCTATGACGACTCTTAGGCGAAAGTTTCCGCTTTGTTGTGAATTGACCCGGAAAGCATTTTTCTTTTCGGCGTTTCCGCTTTTGGCTCCTACGGATCTGTGTGAACGCAACTTTAATGGCAGGAACTTCTTCAAGGCAGTTTGACGTACAGTAACTGTTCTTGTAAAAACACCTCTCAAGGGGAACCGGATCCTTCATCGACAGAGTCATGATTAGTTTCTCAGATGCAGAATAACGCTAGCTGCATGGACTCCGTGTTTTTATTATAAGCCTATTGTGTGGTCCTCAGGTCGCATAATTAGTATATTATTATGATTAACATCTAATTAGTGGTGTAATTGGTATATTATTATGATGAGCATGGAATTAACATATTATGATTGTAACATGTATTATAAGTACAGCGTTTTGTAAATTTTATGTTGTCTATTTATTAAAATTTTGAATATATTTTTTTTTTCCTTTCGCCAAACATATTCCCATTACTTCCCACATACTCAGGTCATTTACACAATTGTTTTTGTTTACAGCCTTTTGAGAGTGGAACTTTATTTATAATCTCCCTGTATATATCTTTCTCGAAATTCTTTCTTGATATATACTTATTTTGTTCTTCAGTTAGGAGGTGTCCATGTTAGTGCGCTGGCCACTCGTACAGATGGTACTTTTGACATGGAGGAAGTGGCTAATAAGATAAGACCTTCCAATCCACGATGTCATGAACCTTACACGGGTCTGATTTGCCTAGAAAATACGCACAATAGATGTGGAGGAAGAGTACTGCCTCTTTCGTTTATTGAACAAGTAACGTATCATATACAAAATGTTTTGAACATATACTTCTCTGTAGGCCTGTTTCTATTTGCAGCTGTTACCAAAAATTCTTGCTATGTTTTGATCTTAATTTGAAAATATGATTCGCAACTCTTATAAGAAGGTAATAAATGTCCGTAAATAAAGTGACTCTATCTCCGATCCATTTTGCTTGTAAATATCTAATTTACTGAGAAAAAAGGGCAAAATAAAATGCAAAATTTTACTTAATCTGCTAAATAATACTTTATGCATTTAAATATCCATTTCCGTGGAAAGATACAACGTCGTCAAACATTTCAGAATTTCTAAAATGAGCGAAGTTTTTTTTTTAAATATTAACATATTTTGCTACTAATGTACCAGAATATTCTTTTATCTCTATAATAGTAACTATTAAGATTAAAATTTGAGAAATTGTAAGAAGTTTAAATGCTTTACTACTTGATGTTCCTTTCTTTTTTCTCCAGTTAGCTTTTATTCTACAAAATAGATTTCTTTTACCCTAGGATCTATTTCCGTTTTCCCAAATATTTTAGAGCTCGCAGTTACTGCCTTTTTCTAATAAATAAAAATAAATATTGTATTAAAATGAATATGAATATAGGTCAATATATTTAAATGTTGAAATTATCTTCTAGGTCTGCTCTTTTGCGCATAGACAAGGGGTGCCCGTCCACATGGATGGCGCTAGGATATTAAATGCTTCTGTGCATTCTGGAGTAGCAGTAAAGGAGATAGTGAAGAACTGTGATTCCATTTCTATGTGCCTTTCCAAGGTGCGAGATAAATATAGTATTTTCCATCCCTTGTCGTTACTTTATTTCTTTATAAAATTCGCTTCTTTACCAAAGATGCCAATTTAACAAGAAAACAATGCTTTTTTTCTAAAAATTTTGTATACCCTTTTGCTGTATTGAACATAACAAAAAATTATATCACAACCCAAAACGAAAAATACAGTTTTAGTATAAATAAGTTAATCAGTAAATAGTAAAGAGATTCATGTATTTGCAAAAGGAAATTATTCAGTATTAGAAAAATTCTATTAAAAATAAATAAATAAAAAACTATTATTCGCATTATTAAACTTGTTACAATGCATTTATGGAAAAAAAAGTGCTAATTTTTTGTTTCATTAGATTTGAATTTGGTCTCAGTTTATTATTTTCATGTTTTGCATGATATGATATATTAATTAAATAATTAATTTATTGATGGCTAGATATAAATGGATGAAACAGAATAAAACACCACAATTCATTGAGATAACTATCGTCCTTACAAATTCGTCACGAAAATTTATAATCATTTAGTTATTTTGTACATAAATTTTTCTAATCTTTTTGTAAAGAACTATGCATTTAAAACCGTTTATATCTTTTGTTTATTACGATTCTGATACTTTTTATTAAAATATTGGACTTGCACATCAGCTGGAATTTCGGGAGAAAATTATTTCATTTTAGATTTTCTTTACTATAATGTATATCAAACGAATGCCATTTAATCAATAGTAATTTTTTTTAGGGAATTGGAGCACCTGTAGGCTCTGTAGTAGCAGGAAGTTCTGAGTTTATTGGCAGGTATGTGTAATAATGAACATTTTTATTGTTTTCTGATGTGTTCATTTTTGCAAGAAACCTAGAATTCTACTTTTATTTGCATTCCTATTTTTGTAAACTATCATGAAATGCAAAAGTTGTTCATGTATATTTAGAATATATAGCTTTAGAAAAAATGTTTAATTAAAAATATTTATATCTTAAATTTTATGATACTCTTTCTTCTACAGTAGCAATCTACAGCTTCATATTCAAGATAAGGGAACATTTCTAACTCTTCGTAACGGTATTTTTCTTTTTCCCAGTTTCATTGCTTTTGATCTTCTACCAACACTGTTTAGATGTGCGCTTAGGTAAAATTGCACAACAGTCCATTCGTAAAACATCAGAAGATGTTGAAAGTATATGAACAAAACCCATTGGTTCTATTACATCTCTTCTGTCATCATTTATTCATGTATTTTTTTATTTTAGTAATTTAGCAAAATCAATAGTCCTTCAAAAGTCATAATATATTACAATTTCTCTCCTGCAAAGTTGTTTTTACGAAGATTATTATTAGAATTATTTAGATTATGGCAAAGCACTTAAGAGCTCTTTGCTTAAGGTGATGATATGCCTTTTTGGAGGACTTTCTAAGAAAAAATGGCTCTTTTTATGTAAAAGCAAGAAAAATGCCCTGCCGCCAGTTTGATTGGCTAGATTCGAACCTAAGGTCGAACTACCAGTTTTCAATTGTACTGTTTTTACAAAGATGTCGACAACATATTCTTCTTTTAGCCAAATGCGTAGGAAATGGCGATGAATATTAGTCTCTCCCCGTTATAAAATCTTAAATCAGTATTTATTATTTTGTTCACCACTGCCTCAAAACTATTCAGTGCTACTATGAGTTATCATTGACAAAAAGTTATTTAATATTATTTAATATACAAGTGCCAGCATTTGTCCAGACGTAAGGGGTAAAACATGTAAATTTTCGTCCTTGAGTCAAAAGACTAAGGAATTAGTTCAAACGATGAAGAATTTGCGTCCATCTATTATTATGATGTTAGCTTAAGGCGATAAGACGACGAGTTTAAAACGTTTATCATTAATTTATCTTTCAAATGACTTTTCCTTAGTGTCATTAAACCTTTTTTCAATATGTGCTTATTGCTTTATATTGCATAAATTTAGCAGTTAATGTTTTGTATCCCATTTTTAAACCTTCAATATAAAATGACAGCCCTGTGCCTATTGGTGTTTCAAGAAAATTCTCGAATTCGCAATGACATCATCCCCTCCAGAGTTGAAGTTATAAACTTACGTATTCTTCAGATAGCCATTAGTAGGTATTTTCTTTTTCGTGTTTGTGTAAAATCAATGTTCGGCTGTTTCCTCCTATTAAAAATTATTTATTTTGCATTTGTAAGATATTTTTCCCCTTCTTACCGCGTGTCTTTGGGATGAAATAGGAAAGCATGTCTGGCTAGCAACTGAGAGCTCGAATCCCAGCGTGGGTACTGCGCATGTTTCTCCCTCGAATTAAACCTAGTAGTCACATAATTAGAAAAATTATATCTCTGAATTTTTCAGAAGATTTATTAAATACAGCACAAGACTATTTCTATTTACAAAGAGGAAAACAGTTTGATTTTCATTTCATACTTCTGTAGGGATTTATATTTATTTTAAATAACCAATTTTATTTAATTTGTTATTCTTTCCTATAAGCCTTTATTCCCCTAATTGTCAATGCCAGAATATTTAAATTTGGTAGCGCGCGTCAAGGAATGCAAATTCTACCTTTAAAAAAGAGTTTAAATTCGAGGTTCCGTAGGAAAGACAGAGAGAGAGAGTTAGGCTATTGCCGTCACCTCTGTTCCGTAAGCGTCTGCTCCCAGAGTTATTGCGGGTTTTCGTGGCATAACTGCATTTACTTGCTGCCACTAGTTCCGACGCGGATTTAAGAAACGGGAATTAACTGAACCCTGTAATTTAGTTCAACAACTTATACATATCTTCAAACCTTTAATTAGTTCTTTGATTTCAGCTAGCAGAGGTGTAGTTTGTTAGTGCCGAGTTGACGCATTGTAAGTTTTAAAAGAGTTAATAAAGGGCACTTTTAACATTTCTTCTATGCGGTTACTACTCTTGCAGTTCTCACACAGGAGTTTATCAAGTGGACTTTATACCTTATCTACGTGCGCGATTTTTAAAGCATATGATAGTTAATTTTAAAAAAATAAATTGTTAAAAAATAATAGTTAAGCTAAAAAATAATAGTTTAGTTTAAAATTGTTCATAAAAATTCTTTCGTAATAAAATGCATTTATTTTAGCAATTAAAATGGTTTTAGAAAAATTCAAAACAGCCTGAAGTCACATTTGAAATTTTTGAAAAATTAGTTTGCTTGCAAATCAATTAAACAAAGGGGGAAAAAACTTACTTTAAATGCCGGTTTTAGAATTTAAAAGAATTCAACAGAAGTAAAGAAATGAGTGTAACAGTGCGGCTTTTTATTACGTTCTCTATAATGAAATTTATTTATGATTATTATAAAACGTATAGTTATAAGAAATAGGGCTCGGACGCATATAAGCATTCCGTACCGCGCCACGCACATGGGGAAAAGTTCCTCTTCGTGATTGGATTTGGCTTCCGATGACATCATTTCTTCTACACTTAAGAGCGCCTTGACTTTGCTTGGGTTCGATGGTACAACTCCATACCGTTTGTTTACGTTTTAATAGCAGTACCGAAAAGATTATTACGTGTGTTATATTTTTGTTGCTATGAGGTTTTACTTCTTAAACTCTGTAGTGTGGTGAATTTAATGCAAAAAATGTAGCGATTTTTTCTCCTAGAGAGAAAAGTATTATTTCTTCACGTTCTAGCTCCGTAAATGTGTATTAATTGCAGAGATTTTCAATAAATGTATTCTTAATTTAAAATCCTTCATATTAAATGTGTTGTGATGAATATTTCACGTCATTATATACCATTCTCTGCAGATGCAATCTCCGAAAGCATGAGACAAGTCAGCTTTCGGAAATAGCAAATACGTTGTTGGGGGCTAACATAGTGCACAGTGAATTCACAATATTCATAATCAGTCTGAAAAGTATTTTTTTTTTAAATTTAGACCAATATAGATTTGGAACAGAGAAATAGAGATACGTATTTTTAATTGAATTATTTATTCTTTCATTTCAGGTAACAGAATATTAGAAATATGAAAGACATTAACATGAAAATAACATAACATTTGCAAAGGAAACATTTTCTGCAATATAAAACCAACAGAATGCAACAAAATTGCAATAATAATCGTATACTTACCAGACACAAAATGCCTTTAGAGTTTTATCGAGATCATAGTGTTTTCGTTTTTGCATTAAATTCATGAATAATCTCAGCACTTAACATTGCCTCTGATATTAATATCACCTTTGATATATTTTATAATTTTATTATTCTCTGAAACAGGAAGCTATGTGCAGAACGCTGCAGCTAAATTTTTTCGTTTCAAAGAAAACAGACGGTAGTTTTCACGCTTCCGTGTCACTCATGCGTGTCATTAAACGAAAAAACAAAAATAAGAATCCCGTTTAAACTCCATTACTAGAAAACTTAACTACTTAAATTCCTAAGAGAAAATGATGTCATCGGATATTATGTCCAATCACAAGTACGGATGTTTCCCCATGCGCGTGGCGCTGTACAGAATGCTTATATGCGGCTAGGACTTGAAGATGCTCCGCCTACTAGAAGATTATGTCGAGGGCTTCCTTATATAAGGTCTCTTATAGCTTTTCTCACAGTGCAGATCCTTTCAAATGTAAATGCTTAAGTCGACTCACTATAAATAACAGCATAAACACATCAGTTAGAAAACAAATTTGCAATCAAAGCGTCCAGCTTTTGTTTCCTTCATTCTTTGCGAAGTTCGAGCATAGTGCCATGACAAGTCTAGAAATGTTAATTTATCTGAGCTGGCTCTAATCATAGTAAAACGAAAAAAAGTATTTAGAAAAGTTAAGCTAGACAGTTTTTAGAATTGCAAATTTGGTAAAATTACAAATTACGACAGTATTAGCGTCCATAGCTCAGTTATAGGAAAGAAGCTAAGGAAATTTTATGATGACTTATACATTACAGAAATTGTTTCGCATCCTATACTTTAAACCGTGTATAACATAAATAGACAAAGGAGTTAATAACAGACCACAAGTGCTTTTGCCAAGTTAAAATAGAGACCAGACGTATTAGTGACAAATTAGAGTTAAAATAACAAGACGAATAAAGATTATTGAAAGTCCTAAGACAACAAAAATCCTCGCAATATTCATATGTTTGCAGGATCAGTTTCGAAAGTTTAAATACAGAACTTCATCAGCTAAAGAAACGCAAATAATTAAAGAGAAACCTGTGCTTAAGCAATAACAATGAAAGGAAGAAAATGCCGTCTATTAATGAAGGAGGAAAACAGCTATGAAACAATTTCCTTAAAAGTTGAGTGTAAGGATAGATTGGAACTGAGATTATTAATTAGAACTGAAAGACTTTTATGAATCGGAAACCACTCTAGAAAATCTAATTCACTAACAGAAGATATTTTAAAAACAATTTTTGGCTGCAGAAAAATGGAAAATTTGATTTTCTGGCTAACAGTATAAGGCAACAGCATTTCTTTTTTATCCTAAGATATGCCTCGTTATTATCATATCATTAATGAAGGAACTTTATATAAATCATCTTTCTTACCGTTTAGCAGTGTAAAGGTGAACTTAGAAGAGCCACACAAGGAAATTTAAATTTTCAGATAATTTGGATTCATAATATTGATCAGGAAAGGAAGGACAGCACAATTAGATGTCAGGAAGCATGGGACCAAAATGGTTTATAAGGTGTTTTCTCCCTTATAAACCCTTTTGCATGCCTTCGTGGTGTAATAGTAACAAATTCGGCGCGTATTCGAGAGGTCCAAGTTCGAGTCCCGGCAAGGGCATTGCTCATTTTTTATGTCTTTATCAAAATAACCTAATAACTCTACAGTGGCACCCCAACTAAAGGTGGATGATATTTCTTCACTACCAGGATTTGGCGATTGGGTCCTCTAATCCCCAGTCACCCTTTAAAAGGGGAATTTTCTCCCTCCGTTCTGCATGCTTTCGTGATGTAGCAGCAACACACTCTGTGCGTATTCGAGAGCTCCAGGTTCAAGTCCTGACGAGAGCATTGCTCATTTTTTACGTCTCCGGCATCAAAATAACCTAATAAATCATCATCCACCATTTAGTTGGGGCGCTGCAGTGGCGTCCCAACTAAAAGGTCGTGGATGATGATTCATCACCACCAGGATTTGGTGATTGGGACCCCTAATCCTCAGTCGCTCATTAAAAGGGAGAGTATATAAGGTATTTTCTCCCTCCCTTCTGCATACCTTCGTGATGTAAGGAAAACACACTTGAAGCGTATTCGAATCCAGGTTCCAGTCCCTGCGAGAGTATTGCTCATTTTTCAAGTCTCCAGCATCAAAATAACCTAACGATACAGGTTTCCCACAGGTAATCTAAATGAGTTTGTTTCAGACAAAGTTGAATAACGGACAATTCATCAATTTTGATACTTGAAAAGTGAAATTCTCGAAGTTTCCTTTCTAGACATTTAGGCGCACCTTCCACTGAAACATTGGTGAATAATGGTTTTACATCAAAAGAAGCTATGATCAAACTTCTAGGAGAAATGTTTTTAAATATATTTATGAGCTTTTTGAAATTTTCTATGATGTGAGTGTTATTAACTAATACAGCCGAAAATCTGAAAGCTAAATATTTAGCTAACGCGTATGCAGCAGTGCCTAAATTTGATACAATAGCCAGAACAGAATACTTCTTGTATGAATTTTGGGTAGCGCATATAAACTGGCACAATTTGCAACAGATGGATAAGCCGTTTTTTTTATTGAATCGGAAGGATTTGTGAAGATCGAATTGAAATTTTCATTTTTCTTGAATGATCTTTAGGATTCAGAACATGCGGGCCTTCGTTTAAAAGTTTAGCGATACCATCAGTGAAAATGTCCATGACGAATATCTGGCCGCCTTTGTCTGCCTTTAAAATGATTTTAAAAATTTCTTACTTTGAAAAATGTTTACTTAATCTTTGGGCTAAAATGAATATCGCGCAGCGTAGATTTTTCTGTCGGCTTTAGGTTTGGTTTCAAAGATTTGCTGTTAAATTTCACGTTATGGACGATAAGCTACTTGATCATTTCTTTCTTTCTTTGTATCTGAGACATTCCTGAATATGAAAGGCTTTTCAGTGGAAGCTTAAATCTTTAAAGTCGAAGTTTTGAGGTTCGTCAGAAATTGAAATTATAATAAATAATTTTTCCCTTCAAGCTATACAATTCACTTTTGAACCTGGGTCATCTAATTCCCTTTCGTTCCCCGGCATCTCGGTCACACGCAACAAACCCAGCTTCAATACTATTACTTAACATAAACCTTCATCCGTTTGCCTTCCACCACACTTCAAATCATGTCATTCGACTAACAGAAGTTAGCTGCATTTTATTTCTTCATTTTCCCAGCACTTTAGTTTGCTTCTCCATATCGGCTCTTGATCAAGAACTAACTACTTTAAAACACTTGCTATTGTCAGAGGCTTTTTACCTAACATTATTCTCAATCTCAATACATCAAAAAATAGTCTCTCATTTTAGGAGATTACAAAAATTCTGTTATTCTTTTCTTTGCGTCGATTAACTGTAACACTGCAGGTATTTTATATAAATTCAACTTTCAGATAATTTTTCTCTTCTATAAATAAAATTCGCTGTTTCATACTTAAAGAACTCATTTCGGATATGAACTCTTGCGATATATACAGGATTTCTCACCAGTGTGGTTAATTTGCATTGGTCAAACTAACAGAGCCTTAAATTTCGCGCTTAAAACCTCAGGCATAAGTTAGGAAAAAAGAAACATACAAATCTTCACTACCCAATACTAATGGTCAGAAAATTACATTCTCCAATTTTTCTGCAGCCAAAATTATTCAAAAGTCATCTTCCCTTGGTGAATTAGATTTTCTGGAGGCATTTCAAATTCATAAAAAATCTTTCAGTTCTAGTTAATGATCTCAATTCCAGTCCATCTTTACCCCTAACATTTAAGAAATTATTTCGTAGTTATTTTCATTTTCTATTATTATATAGCTCCGGTATCTTAAATTCCTTTCTCTCGTTCTTTTCGTCTGAGCAGAGGTTTCTATTTCGTCTTTTGCATTTCTGTAATTGAAGCAGAAGGTTCTATATTTAAACCTTCAAAAGTAGCCTTGAAAATTTCTGAATATTGCGCTGATAGATTTTGCCTTAACACCTCGAATAATAGTGACTAATTTTTAACAACAACAGAATTTTTCTTAAATTCGTCATAAATTTATGTGGACTTAAAGAAATCAGTACGTAGGCATGATGTTACATTTCTGGTTGATGAAATTATTAAAAAGAAAGAGCTTAATGTAGTAGAACTATTTTTTTTAAACAAAAACAGATAAGGAAGAATGATTGAAGGCAGAGTAAACATAATTGATATCACTTATAGTTATGAGAATATTTTGTTCCAGTGTTTAAAGTGAAATAGTATTGATAAAACTGTCCATGCACGCGCACGAATCTTTTCTAAAAGTAATTAGAAATTACTTTTTATCATGTATCAGAATTCTATTTTTTTTTCACGTTTATTTACGTATGCAATGTACTCTCGATTATCCGAGCTAATGCCGGGAAAGCAGGTCACTAATAGTTGAAAAACACGGATAATCCATACTGTTAGTTTTCATGAATATTGTGTGTGTTTAGGAAAAAAAAATCTCTAATTTTACTTTTGAGAATATTTAAATAATATTTGTCGAATTTCACTATGTATTTTACAAAGTGCTATTTTAACATTGCGGTCGAATCTCCTTTTGTCGGCAGAACCCAAGAGAGTTTAACAGAAGTCACTGCTATCTTGCGATTAATGTTATTGCATCTTCTTCGTGTATTTTCAGTATCACTCTGCCTCTTCCGTTCTTGTGACATTTGAAACGATATCCGCGTCACTCAAGCACTGAAAGCTTTATTCAGTCGAATCTTTCCGCGTTGTTTTTTCAATCGACATTTTCGAAGAAATTTGTATTTTAGATGTTTAGGCATACAGTTTCAGTTTTTGCAATGATTTCTTCACAATTAAATAAGTCTCCGATTTCTGTGTTAAGATGAACCTTGATCCAACCAGTGTTATTGACTTTACTTTCGACCAAGCTTTTGTTACACTGAATATGGCATCCAATGCAGTCAAATATTTCCTGAACTTCACTAAATTATCATCTTCCTTAATGAAAAGACCAAACGGTGCATGGATAATAATTTAATGACCAGATAATCTGCAAACCAGACAATCCCTACGTGGATAATCAAGAGTATACTGTATTTACATCTACTTTGAATGACATTACAAACGAAAATTCGTTTGTCAGATTTCCTAATTTATTTATTCCTTATTGTTTCCCAAATTTAGATAATCATGGAAAATTCCATCAGAAGTAATGTTAAAGTGAGAGCATTATATAAAACTGAATCTAAAACTGAAATAATCTGAATTTATTTCATATTTCATAGAGTGATGCGATGCCGTAAGGTACTGGGAGGTGGAATGCGCCAGGCAGGTGTTCTTGCTGCAGCTGGTTTAGTGGCCTTGGATACAGCAAGAGAAAGAATACAAGTAGATCACCTAAGAGCTAAGAGATTAGCTCAAGGTAAACTTAATTACATTCGTAAGATTACTAAGTGATTTCAGTTTAAGGGGACTCGGTACCTTTTGAATGATTTTTTTTATATTTAAGATCTTTCATCTACTTTTTATGAATAATATTAAGTGGTTTTATGAGACAAAATGATTTTAAGCTGAAAAACAATTTTTTCGCTATTAACTTTTGTTTAATTTTAATTTTTTTAAAAAAAATTCAACAATTGAAAATTCTTTCTTCTTCCACAATTTTCAATATTTTTGCTTCAAATTTTTTTATTGTATTTATAATAGTATTCTAAATAACTTTACGGATCGATTTTGCAATTAATGAATTAGTTTCTGAGAAAAAAAATAAAAAGCACTTTTTTATATAAAAACTTTAAAAAATATGATTTCAGTGACATTTTCACTTCCAATAATTTTTCTTTTCACTCTTTTTCAAAACCCATCCTTGATTCTATTTAGTATATAATTTTAAATAAGCAATAAAATTATTAAATAATTTGGTCCATATTTGAACAAGTTTTAGGACTTTAAGTAAAAGGATATATTGAAAAATTGCAAACTGAGAAAACGCAATTTAAAGAATGTAAACTGTCTGAATGGTCATTAAATCATTTAAATTTTTTTAGAAATTTTATTACTGAACTTCAATACATATATTTATAATGTAAAACTTAGTACTGCTCAATTGATTAATATGAACATAAATTACAAGCTTTTGCTTAAAACCTTATCTGGCTAGAAATATTGCAAACAAATCATAAAATGCAAGTAGAATTTTTCTTTACCTCTTTTTTTTTCTTAAAACACGCTCAAAACAATTTTACTGCATGAATTAATTATGATATATTTTCTAAAACGCTTATAATCATTATTAATAATATTAATTTGTCGTTTTATTCGCTTTTTAAGAAGCAAAAGTTGAAATTTTAACAGACTTAAACATTTTATCTAAAACCACTCAACAGCTTATGTGATTTCTTCTCTTATTTTATCCATTTGTTCTCGTAATTAAATTGCATTTTAAATAAATTTACCTGCATTTTAATTAATTAAAGAGTTTAACCCTTAGCGCTCCGCACGTTTTTCTACCACTCCTACCAGTAACTCCGGCACATTTTCGCAGCGGAATGCAGCATCCAGAATATCTGCATAAATCTCTTTCTTGTATATATTTTACTAAAGAAAGGGATGCGACTATTCTCCTTAACTGACCAATAATCCTGCATATTCGCCAGGGGTATCGTACACATATTGATAATAACTCCAATAAAAGCCCAAAACTCATCCTCTTCCACCGCACGCCACGTTTTCCAAATAGAATTACTAGATATTTCTTTATTCTTTAGAATATTTTCTGCGTAATTGTTGGTTTCTTTAATAATTTCATTTACCAGTTCGTTTGTGAAAAATGATTTGAAATATTGTGTCGGCTGTACAATATTTGTAGGAATTTGTGGTCCAATGACCTTTGGCGATACACTAAAATGTATTCTATCCGGAATATCTAATTCTTCCGTGACATCGCGCCATTCATCCAAGTCTTCCGGCGACTCTGCTTTCACTTTCAATAACTACCATTCGTCGTCTCTTTGGTAGTATAATTTCGGAACCACTACTTGAAGTGTCAGAATTATAATTAGCATTGTCTTCCACAATTATCTTTTAACAATGAAAAATCAAACACATCTTCACTATCACTCAACTCTATATTCTCATCACAATATTTATTTTTCTCCATGTTGCTAACCATAAAAAGGGTCAAATAATGTTTCAATCGTAACAGTAGCGAGACTGAGCACGTTTTAACTACAGATAACAATTTCCAACGCCGACGATTCCGTAACATCTTACGCCTCATCATGCTAAAAGCATTGGGCTTCGCAGCGGAGCCTACGGAGTTACGGAACAAATGACGGACGGCTCCGCGGTGGAGCCTATGGAGTTACGGCTCCGTAGCGGAGTCAGCGGAGCGCTAAGGGTTAATGTTTGTTCCAGCACTATTTCAATAATGCTACAGTCAGAAACTTGATCACTTTCATTACACCACCTCTTTCTGTTCGTGTCTAATCACAGATAATTTCAATTTTTGAATAAGCATAGCAAAGTTGACTGATAATACACATAAAATTATTTGCTGAGCTGAGTATAAATATATAAACTTGCGAGTTTGAAGGTGAAAAAAAATTTTTTTTTGCAATTTTAATTTGTATTCAAATAAATCAATATATACACATAAACAGTTTTTTGATAGTTGCAGTCATATTTAAATACACACCTTTTCATTTACACTGATTTTTAGTAAGTTACTGAAAAAATTAAGAAGTAAATAAATAAATAAATAAATAAACACTGAGGATGGTGGGGGCATTTAAAGGGGTGTCAAAATTTTTAAAAATCTTTTCATAGCATTTATTATCGTCAGAACATTTTAAAATGTCTCTTCTGTGTAATAAGGGTAAGTAATAAGGGTCTTCAGTGTAATTAAGGTACTTTTTCAGCAAAAAAATTGAAAAATCGGTAATTTCATTGATTTTGGGGTATCGAGTCTTCTTAAGCTTGCATGTATTATACTGGTGTGCCTGTAAGCAAATGGGTAGTAATGTATCATTAATTTTCCCTAATTTTTCTTTTTATACTATAGCAAAATATTTTTAGCTTGCGTTTCATAATGAAGTCTTATCAGAACTATGTCCTCGGCAAATATATAGTGTCCAGGAATAAAACTATGAAAACAAAAGGGGCATATATATATATCCAAAATCAGTGTGGGTTTTGAAACTGCGTTAATACAGACAAAGGAGAGTTACTCGAAACATTTTATCATACTTCTGTTCCTCCTCATGGGATCGTTTATTGTTTCGGTAGAGGTCTGTACTTTGGGAGACTTGGCACCGGGCATATAAAAAAAAACCACAAGCCTGGTTGGTACAGGTAGTCTGTTTAGATGCGAGTAACGGTCCTGCACCACTGGGCGTCAATGGGCCACAGGCCAACTCGGCAATGCAATTAAATTAATACATTTCGTTTGCAGAGTCATTAGGTAGTTAGAAGAAGCATGCAGAGATGAAAAATAACAACCGCCTTCCCGTAATCGAACCACGGACCTCTGAAATACCGGCTCAGTGTGCTGATCACTACACCACGAAGGTACGCTAGAAAGGCGGGAGAAATACCTTACATACTTCCCCTTTTAAAGGGCGACTGGGGTTTTTAGGGGACCCAATCGCAAAATCCTGGGTGAGGAGAATCATCATCCAACACCCTTTTAGTTCGGGAGTCACTATAGAGACATTAGCTTATTTGGAAGCAGAAGAGATGAAAAATGAACAACGCCTTCTCTGGGAATCGAACCACGGACATCAGAAATACCGGCTCAGTGTGCTGACCACTGCACCACGAAGGCACGCTAGAAAGGCGGAAGAAATACCTTACACGTTATTTAGGAGCCCCACGCTTTTATTATTTGCAATATAAATTGTAGATGAATTCTGTAAATGGAATTATTTAATCTGTTATTAAATTATATAGTAAATTATTTTTCTTCTTTTAGTGTATTAATTATCATATTCATTTAGGATAAAAGTTTATTGTATAAAAACCTTTTTTTAAGTGTATTTTATTATTATTTTTTAGTCTTAATTACACGTTATGAATGATGAAACTTTTAGTCATTATTAAAACACAAGCAGCAAATTATGAGAAAATTATGAAATAAAGAAAAGTAAATGAACATCATTAAGAAAACGAAGACATCGCTTTGAACATTTACACAGACAGACAGTTTCGGAAATTGAATGCAATAACAGTGTTAGAAGGAGCATTTTATTTGAAGCTAACATAAAAAAGCTAATATCTCCAACTCATCATTAAGAGCGCTAGGATGGCAAATTCAAAAATACGTTTTCTATGAACAATCCTTTCTTCTTCTGTCTGTTTCAGACTGCAAAGTATTTCATTGAAAAGATTTTTCATTGGTCTATTCGATGGTAAAACAGTAAAAAATCTGATGTGCTTAGTTTGTCTGTCTATGGGAAAAATCGTTTTAATATTAAATAAAAATAGCGAAATAGAATTTTTGATAAAATTCGTTTCACTACATGGCATTGTCATCGACAAACAGTGTGGGTACAAAATTTGAATTTGATAGCTTATTAGAAAGTAGGTTAAAAATCGATAAAAAAATTCCACTCACAGTCAAACACCATGAGTAAACTAAATAATGTCTAAAAACAAAATCGTGAACTGTCAAGAAAAAACTGTATTAAGGCATTGGAAGAAATCTTAGAAAGTGATAGTATAGAAATGGGATAGTATAGTAAGTGATAGGATATATATATATGTGTGTGTGTGTAATAAACTGGAGAGGTTTATTGCGTAAACAGAATGATGCAGACGTAGACTCAACAGAGTTTTATTACTGGATAACACAATTCTTTATTGCACCCCATAATTTTTGGAAGCTTACATCTTAAGACACACTTTGAATGACAGACAAAGCGAGCGGCGACGTGTTACTTTGATGCAGGCAAGCGGGAAATGTATGACGCATTTGGAAGAAGCGTGAGAGTGATAAAAATTTTGATTTATTTACAAATTTTATTTAGTGATTGGATTAGTATCTGCTTTGCGGCGTTACATAATATCTTAAGATGCGGATGAATTTTGAAATTACGCAGTTTAGATTGATATGTTATGAACAGTTACTACTTTTAGGAAAGAAAGAGGATAAGTATCAAATTTAAAGTGAATAAAGGAATTATTGGAAAATTAAAGTTAATCGTTTGCTTTCGTATTTTAGATCTTACATGTATTACATAAACTCGTATGCAAAATTAAGAGAATTTGCACATTATATCGAGTTTTTCGAAAAACCTAATGTAGAGTTTTTTAGAAATATAGTACGATTATTTATTTATAACAGAAGAAGAGATGTACAGTTCAAAAGTCATTTTATGTAAGCATGATTATTAGTAAATCTCATAGTGATGTCCAAAATCCACA